GGGAATTCCCGACGTCTTCACTCTCTGACTTCCCGGCAACGAGTTCCACGATCGCTGGCTCTCGCTCCGGCTTCTCGACTCCGGCTGTATCCCCTCTTGGTCGTGGCTCCGCCCCATCGAGCTTCTCCATCGGCCAGATGTTCCACGCACCTGTCAGCCAGATGTGGTCGTTCGCCGCTTCCGCATTCCTGAGTCTATTGTTCGCTCGAGGCAGGTGTTGCCGCGTACAATAGGCTCATTCATTCGATGTAAACATGTTATTCACAGCTTTCGCAAATACATGGATTTCGCACTACGCAGTATTTCGTTTTCTCGAACCTTCCTTTTCATACTTATTTATCTCGAATATTCTTAATCTCAAAATGTTATCGTGGAAAAAGGAATCTTGCGCTTACATTGTTTTAACTATACGCTCGCTCACTCATTCATCTACGCTACCACGTCGTGGTCTCGTTCGCAACGGTTAAACAATCATTTATTATCGGTCATACATGTTTGTTAACTTATTCAACAATTCGCATTTGACTTTCTCTAATCGATTTTATTCTCTCATTCTCGCACGTTTCATTCCACGCGTCGCCCGTTATCTCTCCACATTCGCGGTCTATGCCTCCACCCGACAATGCCGTTCGAACGATGCATCGATGGTCTAATTGCTTTTCCAATGTTATTTAGAACTCATAATTGTCAAATTCGCGATTTCAAATTAACATCATGTGTCGGTTAGTCCGACCGCGCCTCCGTGGTTACGATGTCTCTACTTTCTCGCCATTCGATGTATCATTCGCTGGTGCATTTATGTTCCTTCGGTCGCTCGGATCGCGTGACAATCGGCGAATCTACGATTGACCGTCGATATTGTTGAATTTCGCTTTCTCGCATCGCGGTTCGGGTTTCGCATGTTTCGCGTGTGCTCGTTTAGCCAACGATGGTATATTGGTCATACATGCAACAATCTTGCGCCGTTTTACCGCTCGAACAATCTCTCTTATCGTCAGATCGCTCTATCGACGGTTCGCTTATCGTGGTCTCTATTTCCCCCAGTTGGGAACCCCTGTCGCGTCTATGGTCAAACACGTCGGTTTTATTTCGTCATTCGCGGGTCGTTACAGCTGATCCGGACTTTATTGAATCGTAGGACTGGTTCTCGCGGCTACCACACCGATCGTTAATGCCGTTTGCTGACCACCGCATTTTTCTGTATTTTGTTCGGGTGACGGTTTCGCCCCGGGTTACCTCACACGAGTGGGAATTAATGTACGCGCGTTTTCAAGTGTCCCGAAGTAGATTTTATAATCCGCTGACGGTTTTGCCCCGGCCTCGTAAGAACTGCCAAATCTGCCTCGTCATTGCAGATTTTCGTACCGTATCGCGGAATTTTACCCGCGTGACTATTTCTCGTCAATTTTACTTTGCCAATATGCCCCCGATCTTATTTGTCGCGTTATTCGGTCATTTATCGTGACTTTTCGTGAATCGAGCTTTCGAAATTAGATCAACCGATGTATTTGCGTGACTCTAATTATTTTTATTTAAACGTTGTTATAATCTTGTTTCCCGTCTCGTTCAATTCGTTTTGTTATCTGTAAACAAGGATGCTTGGGGAAAAGAAGAGGATAACTTACAATTGAATTTGTTTGTTAAACAGGTTTTTAATATCGAAATCTTTACTCCTCTGTCTCATCGCACGCACGCCGCTCGCTATCGACCAATTGTCATTTTGCCCCGCGATTGTGTAATCTCGAACCCTGTTTTTCTTATCGGCTATTTTATCGTGTGAATCGTTTATTCACTTAATCTACAACTAAATGTTCTTTATTATATCTTAAATCTATAATTAACTTTTATATTCTTATATCTAACGTTTATTGTTATTTCTTATTGTTCGTTATTTTAGTCTTTTGTCGTTGTCACATGTTCGCGCACGCACTATTCTTGCCCTGCGGTTGTTCCTTCAGCCAAGCTGCCCCGTCGCTCCTTCGCTCCTCCATCCTCGGGCTGCTTTGGCTCGTCCCTGTTCTTGGGTCGCTTAATCATGGGCTGCGCCAGCACCCTGTAGTCGGTTATCGATGGTAACTGGCGTTGCTGCGACCGCTGCTCGTGTACGATGGCTGCCGTCGGCTGCAAGGTACAGTTACAATAAATGCGTTAAGTTTAATAAATAAAGTTATTTTGCCATGGAATTTCACCTTCATTTACAAAATAATTCATAAAATCTTCTCTAACTTTTTTAGCAGCATTAGCGGTATTTCCTGGGTTTCTACGATCTAAACTTTCCATGTTAGAGTCTCTTGTATAAAATCCTGACGCAATAGTCCCATCTTCTGTATTTTCGCGATCAAAACATTCTGGAGGCGAGTAAGAATTCGGCACCGATTTCATTAAAAAATTATGCAATACACAACTTGCCATTACAACGGAATCAATGTTTTTTGGTTCTAAATTAATTTGTGTATGAAATATTCGAAATCGGGATGCCATGATGCCAAACACGTTTTCAACAATACGTCTCGCTCGTGATACGCGGTAATTATATATATTTTTTTCTTGAGAACATAGATCTGCTTGTCTAAACGGTTTCATCATATCCACTCTCAAAGGGAAGGCGTCATCGGCTACAAACACGTAGGGCAGACTTCTAGAACTGTTCTTTATATTCTCTTCAGTTGGTATACTTAAGAGTTTGTTTTGAAGTTTTTCAAAAAATTTTGTGTTTTGAAGAACACCTCCATCCGAAACTCTGCCGTTTGTACTAAAATCGCACATTAAAAATTCATATTTTGCATTTACTATTGCTAATAGAACCATGCTGTGTCGACCTTTGTAGTTGTAAAATTCCGACCCGCTTTTACTTGGAGGAATAATTTCGATGTGCTTCCCATCGATTGCTTCGAGGCAATGTGGAAAGTGCCACCTTTCTTCAAAAAGTTTTGCTACATTCTTCCATTCTTCTTCTGTTCGTGGAAACTAAAAAGAGAAAATAAATACATAAATAATAAAATAAAATAAAAATAAAATAATAAATAATAAATAAATAAAAATAATAATAAAATAATAATTAATAAATATAAATAAATAAAAATAATAATAATAATTAATAAAATTCATAATAATAACAAAATTTAATAACATTTAATGAAATAATGAAAAGTAATTAATAAAATATTTATTGTTTCAGGAATACGACATAGGAATTACATCGGGTAAATCTGTGCCTGATGGTAGCATCGAGGATGCTGACGAATCGCCTGTCTGTACAAAGGATGAAAATTCGTCAGAGCCAGCTGCATGTACTTCTGCATCGACACCTCAATACAACCGTCCAAGACCATCGAAAAGGAATTTATCATCAGATCAAGAAGCCTTAACGAACGACGTATTATTGTCAATAAATAATCATTTCAAGCGTCCAGCAAATCAAGATGACCGTTTTGATATTTTCGGCAAGAACGTTGCCATGAAATTACGCGATCTGCCTAAACAACAAAGGCTCATAGCAGAAAAAATCATCAATGAAACTTTATTTGAAGCCGAAATGGGCAATTTAACTATGTCTCAAGGATTAACTTATCAACATCAACATCAACTCCATACAATTAATCCTACACCTCCGCCAATGTATCAGCAGTACCAGCAATAAGCGTTCTCTTATCATTCAGCAACTCCCAGTGTCACGCCAATGAGCCAGCAGCAAACATACCCTTACTCTGCAACTCCTAGTCCAACTACTTCTAATAGAACTACTCCTAGTCCCAGGCTAATGCAAGAATACCAGCAACAAGCTCAACACTCAGCAACTTTCAAGCAACCCTCAGAAATACTCAACATTCCGGAAGACTCGGCAACTTCACTTTTTTCGAATTTTGGTGGTGATAATGTGTAATATTTTTATTTGTACTTTTTATAATAATGTCAATTGCATAAAGCAATAAAACTTAATAAAGTAAAAATGGTCTTTTTCCTTACCTTTAAATAATCCTTATGTAGAACTTTATATAGAGCATCACATGCTTCAGGTATAATATAGCTGAGAACCTGAGGTGATATTATAGTTGAAAATTTAAGATCTTCATAACTTCTTCCAGTTGCAAGAAATCTTAAAGTTGCAGTTAATCTCTCGTGCGGTGAAATGGCGTTCCTCATAACAGTATTTTTCTTTTCAATTAATGGAGTAACTAAATAAAGGAGCTTTGAATAGGTTTCCTCATACATCCGTAAATAATTATGCCAGTCTTTAGGTGCAAACTGCAGTTCATTTAACAAGTTCACGTGTGAATAACGTTGTCTTTTTTTCAGCCATTCTTTACACCATATTTCACGTTTTATCTTACGTTTCACACACTTTTTTGCTAATAATAAGCCGACTATCGCTAAAACGTCGTCTGTCGATGCCATAGTCAGCGTGAATACTGGCAGGTTTACCGGAACGTGTGGGTGCACTACGGGCATCCGGTAGACCTGCACAGGCATGCCTGCGCAGGCATACCTGACAGTTCTACCGGAACGTGTGTAGCCGGCTTTAGTTGGATTATTACAACTTGCCTTTGCTGACTGGATTGTCGATTACATCTTGCCTTTGTTGGCTAGATTATGCATTACATCTTGCCTTCGTTGGTTGGATTATTACATCTTGCCTTTGTTGGATATATTGGATCCGCCATTTTGAATTTTTAAAATCTGACTTTAATTTCGTAATCAGCGACCCCAAAAACCCCCGAGTAACGAGTTTCAAGTGAATCCGATGAATTTAAGAAAAATCAGTCCGCCATATTGGATCCGCCATTTTGAATTTTTAAAATCTGACTTCAGATTCGTAATCAGCAGCCAAAAATCTTAAAAGAACTATTTCGGCTGAATTTTTTGGGCATTATTATTGGAGTATAAATGTGAAGCTGCTATATTTTCTGATTGGATATGGTCAACTTTGACCCCCTATATTTCTTAAACGGGGCGTATGCTCCTCTTGAAATTTTGCTGGGATTATTGGGTCATCATAAGTAACCATTTGGCATAAAAAAAGTTTCAAAAATCGAGGTACCGAAAACGGCCATTTTTTGCCGATGCTCTAAATGTTACGTAAGAAATTCGATAAAAGGGTGGTCACCCTTAAATCCTCAAATAGTCTCACTTTTGTTTTGGATGCGAGTGTAACATATTTTTTTCAAAATTTTTGAATGAAATTTGCAATTATCTGGGCATTTTTTAAATTTTTGTTTCAAATACAGGGGGTGGTTTACCCCCTAAAAATAATCGAACCGAGTCGAAAATTTTTCATTTTTCATATCTCTTGATAATGCAACTATTTTATTTGGTTTGGGCCAAAAATACTGAATCCTTATATACAAAACAATTAAATCGATACCCATAAAAAAGGGGTGTTTCACACCCTAAATATGGTTTTCCGCCGATAAAAAAAATACGTATGTCTTATTTTTACGTCTACTAAAACATATTAAAAAATTATCCAAATCGGCGATTTACACTTGGGTAGTGTTACTTGTGAGCTTTACGACTACTGTAATATCATTACAGTTACGTTCTCGATCTTTGATTGCAGAATTCGGGTGACCGAGAAAATCATCTCTCACTCTGAGTGCACTCAATAACGCGTTATCTTGGATAATTCTTGGTTTGTTGTGATTACCATTGATAAGTCCTCAAGGCATTAAAGTATTAAATTCTTACTCAAGATATTCGATCTATCAATAATTTTGTTCACAAAATTTTACTGTAATTTCGTAGAAAATCATACTAAAAAGAGTACTTTTACGAGCATATGTATATTATTTCGTTGTAGATATAAGTATTTTCCGGTATCTATTTACATTTATAATTGTATTGCACGAGGATTAATGCGTAAAGAGCGTATTTCTAAATTTACTTTTTTTTATATACGATTAATCTTAGATTCCATTTCTACTTTATGTTTAGTCTATTAAAAGACTATGTTAAATCGTTGGTTGGATAAACATCCTCCTTTATATCACCTTTGATAATAATAAACATATATTTACGCATTGATCTAACCTATAAGAACATTACTTGTCTGAATATAATAAATGTTTCGTCATCTTGCTATTGTAATCTGATACGTTCAACGAAGTTCCTAATAAATGTATATCATCTTAGAATACAGTTCGCTACAGTCAAATCACCTAACGAGAGTTTCAAATTCTTTTTTTTAAACAGATGGAATGCATTTGTCTGTCGGTGCTGAAAATAGGGTCGCAAGATAAACTAAGAACCTAGAATCCTAATAAAAGAGAAATCGGCGATAGCCGAAAAACAAAATACGTCACTTGAAGAAGCGATGGGTTACACCCCCAATAAGACAGGGGGGTCTTACGAGGGGACTCCCCAATGGAAAACCGGAAATATCGGTAACCGTCTCTAGCTTTCTAGGATAGGCGAAAACTTAAGAATCTACCTCTTGGGTGAGAAACATCTCGCCCAATAAGAAATCCTCTAAACAAAAATTAAAAACATCCCGCCAACCAGAAATTCCCAAAACGAAACACCTCCTTCAACAAAATCTATTCCTTAAATCGGCTGCGTAACAAGTGAACTCGGTCAAAATATATCCGACAAAATATCTCGGACAATATGTCTCACCGACAAAGTATCTCGCGACTAAATATCTCACGACTAAATATCTCGCCGACATATATTTTCACAAATATCAACAATACCGCTGAACATATGGCGTTTATTGCAAAATTGGCGTTTATTACAACATAAATACAAGCAATCGATATAACGACTCTATTGGCTCACACAAATACCGTTATCAAAATTACAAAGTAATATTGTTGGCAACTTCACACAGATATTCCAAAATGTTGGCACCAATATAACCAAGCACAACATTTTTTAAGCGCTCATCATAGTCAGCATATTTTTTTTGCTTCTTATTTTGTACGTTACGACCGGCGCGACTTTGCGCGATTAACAACTCGGTAGTACTTTGCTCGCTTTTCAATACATTAATAAACTTTCTGATCGATGCATGACTAATACGCACACGTTCGTTGAAGGCTCGATGCCAGCCCTCTACCGCATTATTCGTTCTAGGTAAATCATTTACAACCGCATCGTAACAATTCCACATATAGATAGGAAAGCAAGGGGAACGGCGCTTTTTACGACGATCCAACGACCCAATCCAAATGGTCTCGAAATACCCAAGGACGTTTTCAACAGACTCATTATCCTCAGAAAAATACTTTGATTGCGTGAGAGTCTCAAAAGCATTAATAACATCGTCTACCGGCACGAAAGCCAACGCGACCAACATTTTGATACTCAAGGCGAAATTGCTGTCTTGCCCGTAACGCACTTGCAACCCAACCGATTGTACTTTCCTCCAGATACATTGCCCGAAATAAAAATGACAACCACTTATCTCAGCGTCCGGGAAGCATTTAACAAAAGCCGATGCGAAGCTTGATTCGAAATCGATCATGAGCCGGGTTGGCTTCAAGCGGGATTCAACGCTTTTCAAAAACGATATTACTGTAGCATACGTGCTCTCATGCTTATTAGGAGCCAGGACGTACACAAGCGGATAAATTTTGACGGACAGAAAGCCATGAATGGTGTACAATTGCGCAAATACAGTAGGAACACTTTTAAAGGTTCCATCACCCAACCACAACCTACAACGAGCCAGAATCTTCAAGTTTTCCGCAGTACTAAAAATTAGGCATCAATCTTTGCCACCGTTATCGTGCAGTAAGAATTTGTCACCCCTCAAAGTTTGCGTAAAAATATCTGGTAATATCAGGCTCTCGCGTGAATCGGGATTTGGAAACTGAGGACTAATTTTTGCTCGAGATCGCTGTACCGTCCGAGCAAGGGCAGAAGTAGACGGGAGTTCGGCAGCCGCACCGACAGACACATTCGAAGTAACAGCAGCAACGACGGCACTCGTGCTCTCATCCGACTGTACAGCTCGTTTCTTCATTTTTTCGATAGTTTTTCGCGCTTCAACTTTTGCCGCCTCAGCGGCATGATTATGCTCCGTTTCATCTAATATTTTTCCTATAATATATCAAAATAGCTTTTGCAATCATAATACCACTACAAACAGCACAAAACACACAATAAAATGTCACGTACCGGACCGTGTCTTTGAGCTCGTATGAATTCGCCCACGGCAATTGCAGTTTTTATATTCTACGCAACGCCACGAAACTTTCGATGTAGTTTCACGAACGATGGAATACACAAAACCATTGTGTACGAGAAAAGAACTTCTCTTTTGACTTGTTACAAATTTCAGAGGCATAATTACAGCCGAACTGCTCTGACACACGATCGAATGCTTACTAATAAACAGCCAGAACATATCACAATAAGACTTCGCAGTGCGACGCCGATACACGATGGAATACAATCCACTACAAGACTACGTGCAACCGAGCGTGACACAATATCCCTGTACAATCAATGGTAAGAATATTGATGGAAATTATAATATATATTTTTATAATTCTTAAAATAAAATGTGTGGATAGCTCAATATTTTATATTTTGTGAGATATTTTGTCGAAAATATTGTGTCGGAGAAATATTTCGACGTGAGATATTTTTCCCGAGTTATTTTGTCGAAAATATTTTGTCGGAAATATTTAGTCGTGC